CTGTGGAAAACAGTGTGGAGATTCCTCAAATGACTAGAAATAGACTTACCATATGACCCAGGAATCCCATTCCTGGGCATATATCCGGAAGGCACCCTACTTCAAGGTGATACCTGAGCCCCAATGTGCATAGCAGCACTGTCTGCAATGGCCAAGACCTGGAACCAGCCTGGATGTCCATCAGCAGATGACTGGATAAAGAAGTGGTGGTATATTTGTATAATGGAATACTATTCAGTCATGAAAACTGACAACATAACTCCCTTTGCAGCAACATGGATGCTCCTGGAGAATGTCATTCTAAGTGAAGTAAGCCAGAAAGAGAAAGAAAAATACCATGTGAGATCGCTCATATGTGGAATCTAAATAAATAAATAAATAAATACAAAACAGAAACAGACTCATAGACATAGAATACAAACTTGTGGTTGCCAAGGGGACGGGGCGTCTGAAGGGACAGACTGGGATTTTAAAATGTAGAATAGATAAAAAAGATTATACTGTATAGCACAGGGAAATATATACAAGATCTTGTGGTAGCTCACAGTGAAAAAAAAAATGTGACAATGAATGTATGTGTGTTCATGTAGGACTGAAGGATTGTGCTCTACACTGGAATTTGACACAGCATTGTAGAATAACTATTACTCAATAAAAAATGTTTTAAAAAAAGAAGTAATGTAACAATGTTAAATTCACTAAAGTTGATTATATAAGAGAATGTCTCTCTTCGGAAATACACACAAAACTATCTGTGAGTAAAGGACCATTGTGTATGTAGCTTAGTCACACGTGGATATATATCAACAGAGAGGAGATAGATTGAGATAGAGAGAAAGAGTTAGTATAAGGCCAAAAGGGTCAAATGTTAAGGAGAGGTGAATCGGGGTGAGGGAAGACTGGAGGGAAATTCATTGAACTGCTCTTCTTTATTTATGTAACTCTCAGCAGTGGATGGTGCATGTTTCCCAACTTGCCAGCCCAGAGCAGGAGCTCCATACTTCTAGCCCCTTGCACCCCCATCCTGTTTCCTCCTCCCCTCACCTCCCCCGCCTCCTCACCCCTCCCCCTCCTACTGTAAACCCCTACCCATTGCCTCCATGGGACCTGGCCACTATGCATAGTGTCATCTTCATGGTGCCTGTGACCTCACTGAGTCAATCCCCACATGTCACTGGAGGTCCCAATGTGGGCATTGGTCACCAGCATTGACCATTTCCAAAGTATTGTTATCTATCTGCTGGCAACCACTGGAATCTAAGGATGTGCAGGCAGATGCTTTCTTTTCTGCCTCTCTCCAACACTCTGGTTGGTAGGCTTCTTCTCAGGACATACCTACTAGCACTCATTTGTCTTGTTTTCTCAAACACTGTGTTAAGTTATAAGATTTTACCCAGCTTGTAAGCCTACACGTGAACCCATGGAGGCCAGCTAAATGACACTGACTCCTGCATTAGAGACAAGACTTCATTAGTCATGGCCCAGCGGGCAGCCTGAGCTTCACTGACATCAGTTCTCCTTGACCCTCAAGACCCAAGGGGGAGATGTGGAGCAGACCAGGATGTGTGTGTTACAGCTGAGCGACCCCAAGCTTAGGGCAACCCCCAATCTTTGAAAGAGGAAATCTACCAAACCTAACCAACATTTGCCCCAAAGGGAAATGTAATCTTTATTAACCTGCTCAGGAAACAATCCATCCTCAGCCCTGGAGGGCCCTCTATCTTTCAAGGCTGTTTGCTACACAAACAGCCTTGAAAGAATAGTCCAGGACAAATGCTGTCACAAGATGTGTAGAAACACCATGGAGAATTGCACCCTGACAGTTTTAACTGCTTGGATCTTATCTGGTTGTAAACGTAAAAATTAATTTTATTGAAATACTTGTGTGTATTGAGAAAATTCAATTTCTCCTTTAGAACTTGTACTACATTCTGAAATGACTAATCTGTGTAATAAGCAAGTTATCAACATTATCACACACATTTAAAATTTTTTATAATTTAATTACAAAATTACATAATTATATAACATAATTTTATATTATATATTATATAGAATTATCTATCATATTATCTAATGGCAGTAAGGCTAAGGATGGTATTCTTTTTTAAAAAAGAAGTCCATTCCTTAACATTTCAAGAAGAGAACACCAATAACAGCTAAGTAGGGAAATGTATGCTTAGTAAGAACTTCTTTTAGGTACAAATAAAATAAATTTTTAGATGCTGACAATACTATTAATCTTATGTTTTCAATAAATGTCAGATTTTTCTCATACCTAGGGCACTGATAAAACATAGAAAAATGTATTTCTGCTTAAATACAGCAACTTAAAAATTGCATTAATTTCTCACTTGAGAAAATTCTTAGTCTCTAAATTAAACTCCTTTACTTTTTTAAAAATTTTCTTTTGGAAAAGTAATAATTTTAGTATCTTATGTATAATCTATTCTTTTAAGGGGAGATGGAGGGATTATAATTTTATAAAATATGAAAATATCAATTGCTTAAGAGTTTAAATTTCTTATGAAAATAATCAAGTAAATGTATGAAAATCATTGATTGTTGTGTCAAAGATACTAACCCCTAGTGTATATGTCCATGTATGACTGAAAAATTGTGCTGAACACTAGAATTTGACACAACATTGTAAAATGATTATAAATCAATAAAAAATGTTTTTTAAAAAAGATACTAACCCCTAAAATACAAAATACCTCTTTTTCCAATGTATTAAGGCAGTGCTGTCTAATAGAATCTGCAATGGAGGATATAATCTATAAAACTTTATATTATGCAATACAGTAGCTATGAGCCACTCAAGGCTTTTGAACATTTGAAATTGAGAGAGAGGGAAAGAATTCTGATTTTACCTAGTTTTGACTGAAAGTTGTCTTTATTGCACGGCTTGCAAACCAGACACCTTTGAATCTTTCTTTTTTTAGTTTTTCACGCCACCCAGAGATTTTTTACAAAATATTTACATTGTGATATGTAACTGCAAAAAATAAATAGAATTTCTGTCTATTCAGTAAAGATCATTGATTTAACAGAGAGCCATGCTAAGAATATGTTTAATATTTGTAGAGGGTTGAAACATTGCTGCTTGATGAATTCTAACAAAGAAATTCAATATTATAGTTTGTTGCAAAGAAGCTAACAGAAATTTGTATTGCAAAATTTGTACATATAGGTCACCAGTAATAATAGGCAGAAGCTCCAGATTAAAATGATTTCACATTATTATTTTTCATGTAATAGTTCAATTCATACTTAGTATTTATATTGCCTTTATTATTTTGCTTCAAACATGTTTTTAACATAAAAATTAAAACCACATAATAGTAAATATTTGAGGCTGAACAATAAAATCTAAGCAGGACATTTTGAGGCAATCAAAATGGCCATATTAGGATAGTAATACCATTTCTGGTTAGAATATTTAATATGTGTTTTATGCAAAATGTTCACTTTCATCTTCTTGGTCAGTCCCTAACCACCATTTCTTAAATTTAAATGAAACCTATTAGGAATCATTAAAATTTGTATTTGGGTTATAGGAGGGAGAGATGAGTCTTATTCTGTCAATATTTTCAGAGGCAAAATAACAGAGCTGTTTTGGGGACAAGATTCTATCCTAGGCATCAAAAGACATAGCATTTGCCTGGTAAAAATCACTAACAGCTACTTTCTAAATGAAATATTGCAATGTAAAATTGAGTACTTTTAGCTTGCAAAGTGTTTGCCATGAATTTTAATACCATGATTTATGTGTATTAGGAGTACAAAATTATGACTGAGTCTTGCCTCTACAGATACAATCAGGGCAATTCTAATTCAGCTAGAAGGTCAGTCCATAAAGAAGAATGATTGACATTTATTGGTACTTAGCTTTCTAATGTTGGTAATATGAAAAATTGATTAGAAATTGTCCGATCATCAATGATGCAGCTTTCTTTGATCTCATGATTAGAGAAAGTTCTTGTATAACTTATATTGGCCTTATATCATAATATTTATTTATTTTAATTCTAGTTTGTACTATTACTCTATTATTAATGAAAAATTTCTCCCTAAATAAAATTATCATGTCTCTGGAACTCTCCTATATTTGGTGTCAGGCTGTATCCCTTTGAGTTTTAAGATATTTCTAATGACAGCTTGAAGCCATATATTATAGTGGTGAAGATTGTGGACTCTGGAGTTAGACTGCCTGGATTGAGAGTACTATCACTTATGAGCTGTGTGAACTTGGGCATATTATTTAACCTCTTTGAACCTCACTTTTCTCATGTTAAATGGGAATAATAGTTCCTATTCTTATGGTTGATGTTGGTATTAAATGAGAAAGTGCTTTGCATATTATAGTCATCCAACAATTATTGGCTGTTGTTTTTAACTGTTGTTTTCTTTCTCCCTGTTCTTTTTCTCAGTTGGGTTGGACAAATGTTACTGTTAGCATACGGTTCCTCCTTTGGAGATGCAGCTGCCAATGAAGGTAAGAACTTTAAAGTCCCTTTGGTCTAAACGCTTTTGCAGTTTAAATATTGTAAGTCAAGTATGCTTCAATTTAAAAATGCAGAAATATGATTTAAATACAAGTTCATCATTAACACATTTTTCCACACATGGCATCATCAAAAGATTATCAGACATTCAGCTATAATGCATTTCATAAATGCAAAAGAATTACTTTTGAATATATATTCAAGAATTATTGAATTGTGGCAAAAGATTTTAATCTCTAAAACAGAGATTTAGAAATGAATTATATACTATGTAACCTTTTGGAGAGATTATTGATTTGTTAGATTAGGAAACAGGTATTTTTTGGTCCAGTACCTTTTATCACTTGCTTCTTTACTCACTCACTTCATAATTCAAAGCACAAAAAGTTTTCTGGCCTATTCATCAGAGACTACACAATCCTAAAAATAGTGGATCACATATCTATAAGTCCTTTTGTAATTCTACACACTTTACTTTTATTCTTCTAGGTGAATAATTCTTGAAGGGTAAAAGCAAGATTAGGTTAAACTAATTTATATAATTCCTAGGATTACTCAGTACCTCCTTAAAAAATGATAAATCACTTGATCATGTCTATTGATAGAAAAATTGTTTATCAAGTGATTTTGAGACTGAGGAAACAAATGTTCTTATTATGTAAACATTATCAAGCATTCATTGTTATTACCAGTAGTAAAAAGAAGTCTTGCATGTAAACTGATTTGGAAAACAAAGGAAAAAAGACAATAAAGCAAAGGCTTACACAGAAATATTGCATATAAATTTTTGCTTGCATAGTCATCAAAAAGCAAGTATAAATTGGATACCAGATTCCAATATTCACTGATAAAGAGATATCTGCACCTTTATTGCAGAATTGGAGTATGTTTCTGAGGATTAATATATAAAATAACTAGCAAATTTACTTAAAAGGAGCTATTCTTGATAGCTATTTACTGAAGTATTCCACAAACATATAGCACACACTTGTGATAAAGTGCAGTCTCTACACACAACACTAACCAGTATTTCCATTGTGCAGCTCAGCTTCAGTTATCTTAAGATTGGTAGTTGATTGGATGCCTCAGAATACAGAATACACCTATATGATTTTTTTAGTGAAATCCTGGATGTGGCAGTAGCACTAGCCACATAACCAGAATTTCCAGACTAGCTGAAAATATCAGCCATCATCATCACTGGGTGTACTGCTCTGTGCTGGAAGGGAAGGAAGAGCTAAAAGTGTTTCTCTTTTTAATTCCCATCTTCCTTCTGTTCAACTATAACATATATTGAAAACTATCACAAATGCCAATTTACAAGTGATCCTTGGGTAGACTCTTCAAACCCAGAGCCCTTATCTTTTCTTACAGAATACAGACGTATAGGTGCTATCATTTATGCGAACTGTATTTTGGCCCTGACAAGAGAATTTCCTGTGATTCGGTGTAACACTTGCCACCATCCAACTACTGTAAGTACTATCATCATTTCAACATTGGTCACCTATGACCAAATGTAGAACACTCAAATTGTCAATTTAAGTTTAAAAGTGTATTTGTGTCAGAAAGCAGTTTCTGTCTGAAACTCATTAGTGTGAAATATGAATGTAATTTTCAGAAAATAGAATCGAAGAATCCATAGAGAAAAATTTTTTTAAAAAGAAGGATGACAATTCACCTGTCCCTTCATTTTGCTGCACTAGCTGGCATGATGAAGGCTAGTATTTTAGGTGGACTTTTAACAGATGTTAAAATATATTAAATGTATTAAAATATTATCTATTTATATATATATTGTTTATTTATTTATTTACCTTTTGTTTTCTATGCCTGTATGTAGGTGTTTTGTTTTGGTTTTCTGTGTCTTTTTCTTCTTCCTCTTCTTTTTAAATGGGGCTTCTAGTTTCTTAAAGCTGCAGTTTTTGATTTCTGTCTTTGACTCATAGTGTGGAATTTCTAGGTGGTTACTGGAAAAGGGGAGAGAGAGAAGGGGCCAAGTGGCGTTTCTTTAGGCAGTCATTTCTTTTTCTTTTTTTATTTAAGTATAATCAGTTACAATGTGTCAATCTCTGGTGTACAACATACCAGTCAAACATGTACATACATATATTTATTTTCATATTCTTTTTCATTAAAAGTTATTACAAGATATTGAATATAGTTCCCTGTGCTCCATAGTAGGATCTTATGTTGTTTATCTATTTTATTTTTTAACATTTTTATTGATTTATAATAATTTTACAATGTTGTGTCAAATTCCAGTGTTCAGCGCAATTTTTCAGTCATTCACGGACATATACACACTCATTGTCACATTTTTTTCTCTGTGAGTTACCATAACGTTTTGTGTGTATTTCCCTGTGCTATACAGTGTAATCTTGTTTATCTATTCTACAATTTTAAAATCCCAGTCTATCCCTTCCCACCCTCTACCCCGCCCCCACCCCGGT